AGGATGAAAGGGGAAGCGTGACATAACCAATACCGGGCCGGGATGCCGGCCGTTGCCCGGGGAACCTACATATAGCCCATATACATATACATATATGTAGAAACAGCCCTGGCACACTGTGGGCAGCGCTGACATTTTAATTGCACTCCATGACTCCCGTAATTCGCTTAATTAATCAACATTTCTTTTTTCGCTTATCAATATCGAAAGGAATTTTTAAAGGAAAAGCGCCCAGAAATTGGCATACAAATTGGCCATGGCAATTTAATAATTTGTCATCTAAAAAGGACAAAAACTCAGAGGGGCAGTTTTTTAAACATATTAAATTATTCTTTAATTATGGCTCAAGAAAAGTTTAAAAGAAGAGTTCTCCAACTACGAGGGGTTTCCACAGCTTAAAGTGCACGTTTAACTTTCATAACTTAAGTATCCAAACATAAAATACATAAAAATTCCCCTAAAACAAATTCTAAAAGGCACTAAAAAAAATGCTCAAGCCATTTCCACAGCAATTGTTTTAGGCAAAAACTCAGAAAGGTGTACGCCGACAGGATCCTGGTTATCCGCTTGAGGTGTGCGAGGGGGAGGGGAGCTTATTGTGTGCTGCCAAAACCTAATGCGTAAATTACCATCGTTGCCACATCAGCTGAGCCATAAAATCTGCACACAAAAGCATTTGCCGTGGTTATGTGGGTCAAAATACGGGGAGGGGGGGGAACAAGCCTGGCCAGAGTAGTGAATGGAGCAGGCAGGCGAGCCCCAGAGTAGAGGCAACCAAGGAGAAGAGCAAGCAATAGGAAGGAGACCAAGAAGGAAACGGTGTAGAGGCCAGGTGACGCGGGTCGGTAATTTTGCAGTAATTGAAACCATCAAAGCATAGGTAGGTGCCATTTGTGCCGACTGGCATGGAGTGAGAGAGAGAGACAGAGAGAGAGAGGGAAAGGACCAGGACAAGGGAGAGTGTGTTGCCCAGAAGTGGCCGTGCTGGGCAATTACAAGTACAGACACACGCACACACACACACACACGACAAAACGATAATATTAATGCATATGGAGGTGGTCGGTCGGTCAGTCGGTCGGTCAGCATTGCACTGGGGGGTGGGGGTGGGGGAGGGGCCCTTATCGCAAATGCGGCGAATATTATCTGCGATAATGAGAAAACTAATTGTGAGCTATGCAAATGTGGCACCAACAGATGCACCTGTACATCAGTGTGTGTGTGTGTGTGTGGGTGTGTGTGCAAGTGTGTTTGTGTGTGCTTACCAACACTGGCCAAGTGTGAAAGCAATTAAATTTGATAGTTTATCAGACAGGGGGGTGCTGGTGGGATTGGTTCATTTGAATAAACGGAAATTGGAATGACGACAAACACTCGACTGCACTCGAGTTGGCCAGGTCTTACTTTTGTACGTTCACTGAGCTGAAGCAGCAGCAGCATAGCATTAGAGATAACCAAATTGGGAGACTTAAAGCTTAATTTCTCCATAAACCGAACCCATTGGCATTCCTGTTTGAAGATGATAATTTTAAGCAAAATATCTCTCCGTAGCGCAGTGTAATTACCAATGCAAATGCAATGCAAAATATTTGACAAAAAAAAGGCCTTTGGGAACTGGAAAGTGAAAGTCGATAGTCGCTTTAGTGGAGGTGTCCTCTCTTCCCGTCGAAATTCCCAAAATGTCTGCCGCTGATGAGAGCACAGCACCAATGCAACATGAGAGCTTAATTGGCCTGTCAGCGGTGACGATCTCTTGCACATTTCCCGACTCAATACAACTACAATTTACTCCCACACATTACCTATCTCCCTTTCACTAACACACACACATTTAGCTGCTCAATTTGCGAACGGCAACTGCAGCCCAAGGTGTAATTTCACAAGGAGAGGCTTGCCCATAGCGCGCTCTTCCAATAGCGCCTGAAGAGAGAAAGGTAGAAACTGACAATAAAATAAAATAAACTCTGACGAGCGCGAAATTGTATGCCTCACCCTGTTTAAATAGACCTTGATGCGGTCGTTGGGTGTTCCTGTTAGCTGATTATGTTCCCCCCTTGAAACTTAAAGACACAGCCTTCACTCACTCACTCACTCGCAACTCCTTCCTTTCCCTTCCCTTCCCTTCCCTCTTTTTGTCACCCTAAGCTCTGTTCAATTTGCAATTCAAATTGTTCAACGAGTACCCTGGCAGAGGGTATGAATGATGATTTTTACCAGCTGTTTGCAACCCGGCAAATAGGACATTTCACACTCCATGCAAAATTAAGTTCAACTCACCTTTGCCATAGTAGAAGGAAAGAAGAAATTGAAAGAACTAAATCTTCTCGAGCTTTCTTTCAGAAAGCTCATTTTGTCCGACGCGAGAATCTCCCTGTCCTTTTCCCGCACGAAACCGAAAACGCAAACACACACGCACTAACGGTTTATTTACTGCACCACCACACATCACTAAATGACATTTTACGATGTTACGAATTTCCGTGGAAATTAATTAATTAATTTCAAATATATAATAAACTTCCACACATTGCCGCCCTTTTCCTTCGCTGTACTGCCATTTTGTTGTTGGCCACTTTGCCTCTTTCTGCGCCCCCGCCCTTGACCCAACACATTTTCTTGCACTAAACACACACTTTTTAGTCTTTTCCTTATTTAATCACTGCACCACTACACTGCACTTCACTACACAACGGCTGGACACTTTTTCCTCACTCGATTTGACGTATTTTCCAGATTTTCACTGCTTAAAACGCGGAGCTAACTTGTGAACGCGCGCTTGGACAGGGAGAAAAAAATTGAGTGCGCGAGAGCGGTAAAAATGCGTGTGAAGCTTAGCACTCGCTGTCACTCTCTCTTTAGCTACTCTCGCTAGATGCGTGCTCTACTCTCCCACTGCAACGGGATATCTACAAAGTGTGAATGCGTCACCTGTTGGTGGGAGTGAGATGGAGAGTGAGTGGGTGTACAATTGTACTCTCTCATTCACTGCTCTCACTTGCTCTTTTTGATTGCGCGAACACATTCCGATCTGCCGAAATTCTTCCCTCTCCCACACACAAACTTTTCTGCACATCTTCGAAATAATCTGCCAGGGTATGCAAAGCCTCGACTCTCGATGTGGGCTTTGCTTGCCTTTCTTGTTTTCCATTGAAGCTCTGTGTGATTGCCGCTGTCGCTGCGCTGCTTCTGGCAGGGGCAGAGGCAGAAGCAGAGGCGTTGAGTATGAAAATTAATTCAAGCGAATTCCAGGTGTGCATTTGACATCCACCTGACAGGCATATTGGGCCACTTTTGTCACATTATAAACAATTCATTTGCAATTTGATTGCAGTCATTGGGATTGGATTGTGTATTGAACAAAGACACGGGCATTAAGTGGCAATCGTTGGGTCGATGTGGATGTGAATGTGCAGATGGCGATTGACAGGGTAATTAAGTTTGGGGCGGTTATATTTTGGGGTGGCATTGGTCTAGCAGTCACAGACATGGCGGCCATTGAGTAATTGAATTTAATAACTAAAGCACTTGTTGCGCTTATTAATTAACTAGCATTAACAGTTAACTTCTGTTTTGAGAGCTTTCCAAAATCACACAAATAGTTTAATGTTCACTGTTTATTAGCAGAAGCCAGTTTTGCAGCCAGTGGGAAGCTGTGTAAAAAGTTTTTCAAGCCGTTTAACCGTTTAACTTTGACAAGAGCGCAACATACAGTTTTACAGCCACTGCACCGCATATTTACGCAGTGAAGTTTTCAGATCTCTAGTTTTACAGCCACTGTTAACAATAAGACTTCGTTCTCTCCTCTCTCTCGCTGCGAAGAAACTGCCAATGGAAACCACAATTCTGATTAGAAAATTGCACCAAGTTCTTTGGTTGCCATTGTGCTGCTTGCATAGCAATCCCAAAGTGCCCACAGTACACCTCCCCAAAGTGCCCCCCTTGCCAACGGTTAGTTACTGTGGCTGACTCTTATCTTAGCTTCACCCTTTTACCTACAGCCAACTTTAGCCTTTTGTCTTGGCCAGCAACAGCAACCACCGAAACACGTGCTAAATTGTTTGCACTTTACCTTTTGTTGCTTCTTTCTCCCCTTTACTTGCTCCTTGTCTTTGCTTTATCAGTGTGTTCAACCACACACACACACACACACAGCCCAGCCCACATAGAAGCCACAAAGTGGACAGCTTTAGTTATAACATAACGGTGACAGCTGTTCTCACGTTGACAGCTCATTACATAACCTCATTCTACTGTCGCTCACTCTCTCTCTCTCTCTCTGCACTGTCTTCTCACGCTGCCCACGCTTCATGTAGGTGTAATTTGCAGTTCAATTACCTCCCCTCACTAATATGGCATGTCGATATGGTCGCAGCGGTGGTCTGTCATTGGCTTTCAGGCTTCGGCTCTGCCCACGCATGTAACTCGAATTCGTTAATTATTTTGACAGTCGGAACGGTCATGTGGACAGCCGCAACAGAAATCAACAGCAAAAGGAGAGGCTCCGGGTCTAATAAGTATCACGAAGACTGATTACTCTCTCTCTCTCTCTCTCTCTTTAAAGCTATTGTTGAGCAGAATAGCAGAGATCTACTGCAAGGCCAAAGCGTAGACAGCCCCTGCCCAAAAGTGTGGGTAAACAAACCGCAGGACAGAGTTGACCGACCCTTATCAATGTCCCTGCGGCCAAAGAAGTTACCAACTTGAGAAGTCCTGTTGTGGCCACACATGAAACTTGCACGAGAGTCGCCGTCGACCGACCCCACTGTCTCGGCTGCTCTTCCGCCTCGCCTCCTCTCCTACTGTATGCCAATGGTAACTGTAATTTGTGTGGCAGCCCAGTCATTTTGGCGCAGCCACTGATTATGCTATCCCGAAATGGACATGATGTCAAATTGCCGGAGACACATGTACGGCTGGTATGCCGCTGCGGCGTACATAATTTACGGCAACACAAATAACTGCGGACAGACAACCAGCCCAGTGAAAAGGAAGTAATGGGATTTAGAGTGGGGGATATATGCCAAAAACAGGGGGCAGAGGGGTTATATATATATTAATTTCATTCACTTATGAGCTATTTACACAGTGTTGGGACCAGGGCCAGTCGGCGGCACCAGCGGCATCGGCAGCAGCATCTCGAGCAACAGCCAGCCCAGCAGCAGCCAGGCATAGCCCATGACGGTCAAGAGCAGCCGCCGACGCCGCCACTATATGATCTCGTCCTGCTCCTCCTCCTCGTCATCTTCATCGTCCTCTTCCTTATCATTATCATTATTATTACTGAGAAAATCTCGACGCAGGGCATTCCAATTGGGTGCCGGATGATCCTTGAGCAGGCTCCAGTTGGGCGAATGCACATCTGGCGATAGCCAATTGAAGTCCGCCACATCCGTGTAGTTGTTCTGGGCCTTGTTCAGTCCAGAGGCAGCGTAGTCGGCCTCAAGCTCCGGATAGTCGTAGTTGAACTCCCCAATCTCGATTTTCTTGCAATCCTCGATGATGGCGCGACAGGTGACATGCAGATAGATGCGCGTGGAATGGGAGGAATGCAGGCGCAGCTGCTGACAGGCAATGGCCATGGTGCAGCGATCCAGTTGCTCGGCCATGAAGGAACGCGCCACCGGCCCGCACAGCAGGGTGCACTGCATGGCCTTGGATATCTGCACAGAGCCGGGATGGCCCTGCAGCTCCACCAGACACTGACTTAAGTTGGAAATGGTGATATCCTGGCCATTGACTTCATCGCCGCGGAGCACAATGTGAGCATTCCGCTGATTGGCAATGGTCCAGGTGAAGTTGCTGTTGCTCTGCTCCTTCTTTGGTGTCTTCTTGTCCTGTGGCTGACCATCGGCGACGCCCGTTAGCGGCTTTTGCTTGAGCGCCGTCTTCTTGCCGCTGAAACCGAACTTTTTTTTGGGCATCAACCGCTGACGGGCCTCATCGTTGCTGCTGGTCAATGCGTTTAGCATATTCTGACAAGATTTGATTTTGAAATCGGAGAGAAACATCGTCGAAGCGGTTAGATAACGCTGCAGTTCCTGTATCTGGACAGTGATCTCGGGCAGCCGCTTGCTGAGATCGGGCAGCGGTGCATCCCCACTGTTCATGTCCAGCATCAGGATGCTCTTCTCAATGTCGTAGGCCCGCTTGCCAAATGTCTGCGCAAAATAGTCCACGCCCTCGTTCTGCACCGTCTCTTTGGAGCGCTGCTCCAACTTTATATCCAAATAGTTTTTCCTGTCCTTGTCGCGCTTGTTGATGCGATCCAATATGAGATCCTTGCGGAGGCCAGCATCCCCATCCAAAGTGTCCTCCATCTTGTTGCTTATCTGCAATCGAATTAGTGTTAAAAATCAATTTATGTATGTGCAAAAAACTTCTTTCGAAGAGATGAATCACAAACGCAGCGCAGGCTGCGCAGCTGCAGCAAAAATCGACAAAATCTTTGCTTTTCTCTCTCGCCAAGTCAGTCTTGTGCGGTTCTTGGCCATAGACAATGCAAAATGTTGTTATCTTTGTGCAGTTTATTAACCTTTTTTGTGTATTTTCTTGTTTAATTTGACAATAAAATGGGAAACAACTGTAAATAGAGAGCCGCGGTCCGCTGTCAGCTGCTGTAAACGAAAAATCACTAAATAATACCACCGCTGGAGTTGGTGGTGTGGCAACTCTGTTTTGTAAGGCACTAAAAAATACCACCAGTTGGTGTATCGATATACATTTTCTGCCAATTTCTGTTAAATTTCGAATGTAACTGGAAAAAACGAAAACTTAGAAATCTTAGTAGGCTACGTACATACACATTTATTTTGGTTTAGCTATATCTAGGTTTTGGGCAAAAACCAAATGGAATTTTAAATAAAAACAAACCAAAATATTGCGTGGCTTCCTTCAGTTTTTTTTAAACTTTATTTTCGATCAAAACTACAAGCAACAGATTGAAGTTTGTTTTTGGTTTTGTTTGAGTGGGGATTTCTATTTGTGGTGGTGGGGGGTACTGAAGTGGGTGGGTGGGAAGTGGCGCCTACATTGGAAGCGGGGACTTGGGGCTTACAATTAATTGAATTTTGAACATATTTACAATTGAATTTATACGTTAAATACATAAACATAATATGTAAAGTTAGATATATCATATATATATATATATATATATAGAGTATATGTATATATAGTTAGGGTGTGTGTGTGTGTGCTTGAATGTGTGCCCTATTATTGCATGCAAAATGTACTAAACAGCATTTGTACCTTTCTTTTAACTTTCGCTTTCAACACTTAAGTACTAACAAAGAATCTATTAAATACATGTTAATTTCGTTTTGTTTTCAACTCTCCTTCGGCTCTCCTGTCTGCTCTCTGTCCCTTTGCTTGCTCTGAGTTTCTCATTTCTTGGTTTTTTCTTTTCTTTTGTTTTGTTTGGTTATTTTATTTATTTTCTTTTATAAGGCACCTGGACACATTCCTGAATATAATGTGCGTTACATACATACGATAGTTACGATTAGTTTAGCATTATTTAATTTTTAAACAAATTAAAATTCGACTATTCGACTACACCACAAATCAATTGAAATAAACGCGAAAATTCGTTACGGAATTATTTGCTCCAACGCTTGATGAGGAGCAGGAGGATAAAGTTAAAAAAAAAAAAATAGAATCCAATAATTCTATTCTAACAAAATTCTATAATTCATATGACCAGCAAATGACTAAAAATCATCATCAAAAACATTTGATTGCATGATGAAAAAACATTCTACATCAAATAAAAGTACGTGTTTTGTTTGTTTGTTTTGTTTTGTTTCGGAAATGTTTTCTCTGCGCGAGCGGGGTCGTGGGGGCTCCCCCTTATCCTTATATAGATCATGAGAGCTCGCCAATGGGCGCATTCTGCAGCCACAGATCGTGAATGAAATTGTACAGATTATCGCTGACCGAAACCTGCGCAAAACAGAACAAATAAAATCATTATAAATTACAGCTCACATTTAATTGGTTAATCCAAGCTCACCTTATAGGGCGTTGGATTGAGTGTGCGCTTGTGATCATTCCGCAGCGTCTTCAATGAGATTTGCACCTTCTCGCGCACCTGCTCGAGGGTCGGCAGCTGCTGGCATATCTTGCCCGACTTCCAGTACACTTTGAACAGCGACTCCACGTGCGAGGGTATGACATAGGCGCGCTTCGACTCCTGGAACGGATGGCGACACAACACCTTCTGGCCGACAGCTGGCGGCGCTTCCGACACCTTCTGCAGCAGATCGATGAGTGCGTGTCCGTCGGCACTGTACAGGCGATAGGCATTCTTATTGCCCGGCATGGTGACCTTCTCCACATCCTGACTCAGCTTGATGCGCGGCTGGCCATTGATCTCCACCAGCTTGTAGACACAGCCCAAGGCGGGCTGACGCTGACAGGTCACTGCATAAAACCATTAAAATCTGAGTATAATTCCAGCTTAAATACAAAAAAAGAAAACTCACCCAAATGTGTGCCTATGCCAAAGCAATCAATCTTATGTCCCTGCTCGTTCAGGCTCAGTATGGTGTCCTCGTTGATGTCATTCGAGGCCACAATTGTCAGCTTATTGAACCATGGCACCTTGAAGCGCTCCGCCACCTTCTCGAAGGCCTCGCGCGCCAAACAGCTGAGATAGGCCAAGTCGCCCGAATCGATGCGAATGCCCAGTGCATGATAGCCCAAATCGTTGAGGGCCAATGCCACGGCACTAAAATTCAGCAGCCCGCTCCTATGGAAAAAAGCAACAAACACACAAAAAAATTGATTAATAAAAATTGTGCCTATAAATCTCATCAAGTGCTGCTTGGGGTTTTTTCTTGTTTTTTTTTTTTTGGTTCTCAATTCAACATAAATAATATTTCGCTTTAAGTATATCATTTGCCACTAAATTGTAAGCGAAACTTTACACAAAAATATATATACTATTTAAGGTGGTGGGAGGGTGTAGCTCTATAAACGTGATGGAACCACATTGGGATTCCCTTTTTGGGTTTTGCAAGTGCCTCTAGGAAAAATCATTTCCTGTGTTGGAATTATCTCATTTTTGGGAGCAGCACAAAATGTTGCATTTTTTTTTTTCGTTTCCTTTCGTTCGATAAGCCATGCAGTGTGCTCTCTCGGACGCTTGATTTCAACTATTTACAGTTAAAACAAAAAATTACTAAAGAAAAAATTGTTCAAAAATATTTAAGGGATTTCTTTACGAAATTTCCTTCAAGGGTTTTCGGTTCATTGGAAAAATGCTTCTTAAACTTAAAAGACAACGAATTAATCCAAGTCGAAAATTAATGGGAAACATTTTAGACAATAAAAAAAAAAATGTAATTGGGTTCCAAACAAATGTGAACTGAACAAAATGTTTTTGTGTGGAGAGTTTCAGGACAAAGGACATGAGTACCAGTATTACAAAGGGGGTTAGGGTTGGGAGGTAGATCGATGACATCATTAGGGTGATTCAGTGTGCGTTTTGAATATTTGTTTCGAAATAAAGTGCATAAAACAATTTGTAATGCTAGAAAGTAAGTTTAAATTTCGTTGCACGATTTATTAGCAAAAAACATCTGATAATAAATCTCACATTATGTACACTAATGTCGCGTGCCTTGATTTAACGTTTGGGTTGTTTTTTATTTTACTTTACTTTCAACAATGTTTTAATGCAAATAAATCAACACTTTTTGTATGCAAAAATTATTATTTACGATTTTTGAAAGTATCTAAAATTTACTGAAATCTTTTTCATTTTTAAAAATGTTTTCTCATTATTAATATATTATATTAACAACAAAATTACGATTTTTGAAAGTATTTAAAATTTACTGAAATCTGATTAATTTTTAAAAATGTTTCCTCATTATTAATATATTATATTAATATCATATTATCATATATTATATTATTAATATCATATATTAAGTTGCCAATTAGCTTATAAAAGGCACGTTAAGACTGCATATTTATTTATATTTAATTTAATTTTAATTTTTCCTTCGGCCTGTTTTCCCATTTATTTTATGCACCTTTTTGGTTAAATGTAATCACACAATTATGTATCAAACACTGCACATGGGTTTTTGTTGCTTGCTTTGTTTTGGATGAGTGGAGCGTGGGGTTATGCCAGATGATATCATGGTGTAGTTGTTGTTTATTGTCGCTTGATTGATTTTTGTGTTGTACGAGTAACTTTGAAGACGTGTTTTTTACATACCTCTGCCAAAATAGTGCCGGAAGTCATTTTGTTTACTATGTTAGAATAGGAAATTCTCTTTTTGCTATGTTTCAATTTTTGTATTCATGGATTCACTGATTCGGTATCGAATAATGTTTGATTAGGGGGGGCAAAGGTTTACACATTCAGGACGATCAAAAAATAATACGAAAACGGTAACAAAAAGTGAGTAAAAATGTAGGTTAGAAAAGGGAAATTGTAAGTTCAAATAATACACAGGAAAATGTGAGTTAAAATAATACACAGGAAAATGTGAGTTAAAATAATATACAGGAAAATGTGAGTTAAAATAATATACAGGAAAATGTGAGTTAAAATGAGGATTAAAGAGGAAGAAAATTTGAGCAAACAAAAAATGTGAAACACCAAAAAAAATGTTTCAAGGAAAGAGCTTACAAAAATTAGTATATAGAAATCTGAGAAAATTAAGCATGGAAAGGAAATGGCAGAAAACTTATTTAAAAAGAAAGCAGATAGCATAGGGCAAGAGAGTAAAGGAGAAGTAAAAAAAGAACAAAAAACGGTAGAAACTTCACCTGTTTTTTTTTTCTGGATCTTTATCTTTTAGCGTTTTTCCAATTATTTCCCAATTATACGAGCACTTAAGGGACCAATAAAGTAGCAGAACACATACATAGACATACAATATACATATTATATATATATCTACATATATATGCATGTACATGGTTGGCTTATAATTTGTAAATTTAATAGCAATAATTTAGTTTTAGATTTATGTTCAATGGAATATTTTGATGATTTTAGTGGTGAAGTAAGAGAGGAACGAAACTCATGCAGGCAGCACCCCCAAAAACCATAGAAAAAACCACCCAAAGGAAATGATTTCGTATGAAAGCTTAAGTTAAACAAATAGCAGTGGAAATCAGGCATAAAATAATGTACATGAAATTCACATGAATAAGAAAAATGTTTTCGGTTTTCAGTTTTAGGTTCTATCAAAACTTTCGATATTGGTATTAATTTTTTTTTTTTTTTCCTAATATAAAAATCTTTTTTTTTTTTCTTGTTGTTTCTTTTGGGGGTGGGGTCGGGGGACATTTACCTGAATGACTTCTCGACATATTTTGGTAGGTATGCCGTCCCATTGGACGTTGTTCGTGCTAACGTTGTTGCTGTTGTTGCTTTTGCTGTCAAAGATGTTGTTGTTCTTGTTTCAGCTGTTGCTGTTGTTTTTGTTGTTGTTGTTGTTGTGCTGAGATTCGTATCGTTTATTGTATCTGGCGATATACTACCAACACCACCACCATTACTCTGTGCAGAAGCAATACCATTCTGATGGCCATTGTTGTTTGGTTGATTCTGTGTCTTGTGTCCATTGTTGGCTGCTGTTTGGCCGCCGCTCTTGCCATTCGTTAATAGTTTCGGCCTTTGGCCATTTACAGTGCTGCTCTGCGGCTTTGACGGACTGCTGCTGTCTTTTGATTTGCTATCATTTTGGGCACTCGATAGAAGATCTTGTGTAAGTTGTTCTGTTTCTCGGCTGTTGGATAATACTTGTTGTTGTCATTATTATTACCAATATACAAAATCAAAAAAAAAAAAGAAGAAGCAAAATGAACAAAAGCTCACAGCAAATGAATGACAAGGAGGGAGGGAGATGAGTATAAATGTACAAAAAGTTACAGCACTTTTACTCTAGTTTTAAAATGTTTTAAAAATATTTTCCGTTACTCTTGGGCTTTGTTTTTGTATGTAGTATTGGTGCACGTCTCCAAAGTTTCAAGTTATACAAATACAAAAGAGATCAAATCTAGGACTTAATAAAAACAACACAGAAGGAGATGGGAAGATGGGGTTACCAGTTGGATGGACAAAGGACAAAGGACATGGGTTGGAAATCAGGAGAGTTCTAGGGAGCGGCAGGAACACAATGGGTCGCATAACAGCCGTGTTCCACCAGCACACATTCGTTGGATGATTGCAAATGACGATTATTCGCCGTCAAAAATGTTCCCATAAGCGAACGGGTACATTCTGCACGAACAGAGGCCATTTGTCACGAATAAATATGAAATGTGCGAGTGCTAGTGGAAGTGTGGAAGGTACTCGGGAGACTCTCAAAGGCAAAGAGGCATTCAAAAGACTCTCAATGGCAGCATTCAGAAAACTCACAAGCAAAGGATAGCCTTCAGTTGAGTCTACGAAGGGAGAATGGGCATGGTGGAAACACACAACCAGGAGTTATACAAAAAGGTAGAAAAAAATGTTCCACAAACCAACAAAAAAAAAAAAGAAAAAAAAAAAAAAAACCCGACGTTCCGAGAGAATCTGCCTAAAAGCGAAATACCTCTTAACATCGTACGTATCGACAAGTGCCATAAATCCATCCGGAAATGCAATGGCATATGAGACCATGGCCGCCAGTTCACCCTCGCTCGACTCCTCCGTGGAGACATCCAAGACATGCGACAACATGCCACGATGCCTGATCGCATGCTCCAACAGATCCTCCATGACACCTGCACGAGAAGTTACCAATTAAAAAATGATAATTAAATGCATTTAATGAATTTGTGGCACACTCACCCGTTTGCTTGTGCTTGAGCAGACGCGTCTTGAGCTCGCCAATGCTGCTGAAACTGGTGATATATGCATGGGCATGGGTGCCCTTGACGGGTATGTTGAACAGTTTGCCGGCCAGCACATTGGAGGTGCCATCAAAGCCACCTAAAAGGGGTAGAGAAATTAATGCATTTTAGTGGCAGTTTGAATGGAGTTTATTAGGAATTGCATAAATGCTGCTGCAGTGCCAAAAAATTTCGACATAAAGCTAACAAAATATCAGGGTTTGAGCTTGCAGAAGAACCTCTGCAGAATCCTATAGCTCTATGCCACATAGAACATGTCTCGCTGCCATCAAATGACTTCATTTCCTCATCAAAATCCATAAGCTACAACAAACATTTCAATTTGAAAGCCTGCCAGCCTGCTCCATTCTTTTTTGGAAGCCTTGACAAGAACCTTGACGCCAACTGGACGCGCACGCTAACCGATCGATTGTTCGGTTATACCATATACAATGGATAAACCCCATCACCCATCATCCTCATTCCTGTGAGGAGCCTGCCTGAACAATAATTTGGGACGCATTAAAAAGTTGGAGCGTTGCTTGCCTGAAGCCTGAAGCGGAAACCCAAAGTTACGATGTGTGAGCGCCAATTGAAAGGAGCTGCGCTCCTCCGTTGGCGGTACCAGGCACCGATTGCCGTGCATGGACACCCCCCCGTTGGCTTTCTGGCACCCACACAACAATTCTTTATCATGGGCGAATGGGCATTGCGTGTGCCACCCACTTTTAGGGATTTCTTTTTACTGCCGTTGGGGCGCACATTTAGTTTAACACATAAACAAGAGTCTTGAACTTTGTCCCAATAGCGGAGAGATGTATTGTAGGTAGAAGGCAGAAGGGAAACGGATAAAGGAGGAGTAGGTGTGGGAGCCTTGGTTCTAGAAGGAGTGGGAGCCTTGGCTCTAGGAGGAGTGGCTCTAGCAGCAAGTAGGAGAAGGTTCGATGATGCCTGGGCTACTGACAGTGACATGTGCTTTGCATGCATGCACATCATAAAAACTCGGGCACAAAACAATATGAAAAGCGGTGTTTTTCCTCTGTTAGCCATCCCATACCATAGCCCATAGCCCGCTGAAAACGATCAATGTGTGGCATGTAGGGGGTAGTACGGTGGTTGTAGGGGGTAGTAGGTGCTTTTGGTATACCCTTAAAATTATTCTAGACTCTATGAATTCTATTAAAATTTTGATTTTACCATGGACCAGCTTACAATTCTTCAGTTTGATTCAATTATCTCAAGGAATAAATCCAACTATTTTTCTACGATGCTCGCAACTTACAAGATGAGTTTTGAGGGGCATTGCTGTGATTTGTCTTCTAAAACTGTTAAAAGTGAACGGCCAAAGGTAACATTCCTTAAGCACTTCTTTGTAGCTCTAAATAATTATCATTTGCATATATATTAAAACACTTTTTGATGCTCCCATGACAACCATTTAATATAAATTAAAACCACAAACAATTCGAGTTGGTAACGTTGGTTTTTAACTATCAAAAAGTCGCAAGCGAAGTTTGTGGTTTTTAATAACATTCTCACGACTTATTATTGTTATGGGAGATATTTACTAGAATTAATTTCAAGGAATTTAATAAGATAAAAAAAGGAATTTTCATACATCGAATTTCTAATAGATAATCTCAGTACTAAAAGACTAATCAAAGTAGTAAAAGTATATCCTTTTTAGCCACTAATATTCAAGGTTTGCTACAAATATTTATCACCTCATTAACACTAAAAATTCCACCTCCTTTCACAGCTAACAAGCTGCCCATAAAAATCATGCAACTCCTTCTTCGCTGGCATGCCCAAAAATAAAATCATTTTTGGAAGTGACTATGACTCCGCGTTGATGCCCATCCATCCTGCCCTTCTGGCCTTCCCCCCCCCATTCCTTTTAATTGATAATGAGTTGTCTGCATGCAATTTGGCAATGCCAAAAAAAAAATAATGTATGTTTATATCGCACACGGATGACCTTACTTGTCACTGGCGCTGGGAGGAAGAGAGCAGCAGTAGGAGTAGGAGGATGGAGGATGAAGGATGAGGCGTGTGAAAGTTGCAGCTATTTTGTGTGATATATATATTGTTTGATTTTGTTGTTGATGTACCTGTGTAGGAATATTTCGATGCGGATAGGCCACCATCTGGTCCCTGGGCACGACGCAGTCCAAATTCCAATAGTTTGACATGTTTGCCAGCTACCATGCGATATCTAGCTGCATTCGTTGCCATTAAACTGTTATTATATATATATATTATATATTATTAAATAGTTCACCAAATACATCAGATACAATTACCTAGCATAGTTGACTAGCGTTAGGAGTGTGGTCTCCAGTAGCTGTACAATAATCAGGGGTCCCTCAATCTTAATGATGGGCACACTGTGGAATAAAAAGAAGATCTCATTAGCATTTGTTTAGCCACATGAATCGTGTAAATTGTTGTTTTGCTGCTCAAGTTATCTTTTGTGCCATGAACTTTATTATATATGCTTAGAGATGTGCTATATCTCAGCACTTAATACGCATAATCGCTGGGGTTATTAAGTTATTTTGAGATAGTATTTATGGCTAGCTATCTGGTTTTCATATGTCTAAGAATATCTCAGGAATTACAGGGATTAAAAACATCAAATAATACAGCTTTAAGTCCTGTCCTATCCACTGTTGATTCGCTGCAAAAATTTCCCCTAAGCGAACGGCTACACTTGCCATTCACGTGTCAACGTTGCATGATGATAATGCTGCTGCTGCTACTGTTACCACTCCACCACCTTAATTCTACGTAGAAATGTACCCTAAACAAACGGATGGATATATGCCAGTCACGTATGTACGTCAGCTTTGCAGTCCCCATCATTCGCAAAATGATGATAGTGTCACCATACCAGACCTCTATGGAGGTCACTGTAGAGGTAAACTCACCGTGGAAATGCCACAGTGCCCTCATCAATGGCATACAAGGTGACCTCTCGCGCCGTTAGATTGCCCAAGTACTCGAAAAACTCATTCTCAATGCCCTCGGGCAGTGTTTGCTTCAGGTATTCAATATCTGAAAAATAACAAACAAAATGATTCGATTAAATCAATATTGATAGGCGAGCCAATGGAGAATGTAAATGCAAGTACTTACCGCTTTGGGAATAGTGGAAGCTATCCAGGAATTTGAGGCACTCCTCGAGGCCAGCGAATATGGTGAATTCACCGTGGAATGGATTGTTGCGAAAGAATAGATCGAATACCGCCTGATCGTCGGTCTTATCCGATTTCCAATATGCATATGCCATTGTGATTTGATATAAATCTGTAAATTTTAACCAATAAATGAATGTCTAGACATTGTAACCCCAAATCAGCCAGTAATGTGTGCTGGCAAAAATAAATATATAAAACTCTAACCCCAATGTCGATAAGATAAGCGGGGCAAAGAAAAATCCATGGCTCGTGTTGTGGTTGTTCCAACAAAAACAAAAACAAATATATATATAATCCAAATGCAAATTCTTATCTAAGTGCAAAGACCCTGCAGATCGTGCATTGTATTTGTTCGCCTATATCTCTCGCACTCTCTCTCTGTGCCTCTGTGTCTGTATCTCCTCTGTCTATAAATACAAGTGTATGTGGTTATATATACGCGTGTATTCGAGATATAGTAGCATCGAAACGCGCGCCAAATTGTCTCTGTTTTTGGGGCTATATAAATGTCAACCCATTTGCGTTTTTTGTTTTTTTTGGAACGAGTTTCAAATATAAAAAGCGAGAGTTTATGCGATGGGTATTCGTAGTATACGAAGTGTATACATTAATCAGACATCAATGATGATTTTAGCTATATTGCAGAGCAATGACTTTGGCATGGGATATCTTTGAATGGTTTTTATTGGGGGTGCCATTTCACTGTACATAATTCCATTCAAAGTCTTCAATTTATGTCTCACATCTATTTACCTTTTTCTATCCAATGTTTTTATCGATCGCCAATTCTTTCTTGAATATTCTATGCTCTCATTTGTCTATTTGTCTATCATTTTAATGCTAAGCAGTTATTAATTTGCTTTAAAAATGTCCCATAAGCAAGCGGATTTAATGATTTACCACACAGAAGTGTTCCTGACACCATTCCGCTCATATTCGATACAATATTCCATCCAAACCGAAAGGGATAGTTAATTCTGTATTCTGTTCATATCGAACGAATCTCAAATTTATATATATCCTAATGCCATAAATCTATGCCATTTATTCCAACATAATGTAATATAATATCATCATTCAATTTTAATACTTAATTTCTCCAATCGAAATCTACCACAAAAGTTGATTTATTATTATTTTTATTCCATATTATGACTATAATCCCCTTAGTTATCCCACATTCTCAATCTTAATTTATCAACTCTTCTCTAACATTTAGATTTTATATGCAAAATATTCCACTCGCTTAAAATTCATTCCAATATACTCTCAAATTGTATTACGAGTATAGAATCTATAAATTCTCCATTTAAAACTATCCGATTTGCATTGTAAATATCCCTATCTAATCTACTTATAAAATCCATCTCTTATCGTTTTTATTTCAAACGTAATTCTCTGCAAAACAATTCTCTGCTACCTTCAGACCGACCCCGTGAAAACCCAATCTACAGATAAAGTAACAATTTAGCTTGAGAATGAATTTCAATTTCCACTTACCGGTTAGCAATGGCTGGACAACGCCATTCTGATTCATTCGTCCGCGATCCATAAACTGCCCGCCCGCATTGCAGCTCAATTCACGGTCATTCATTTTGTCGCCGATCCGCTGATCTGCTGTACTTCTGATGGATATTTCTCTGTGTAGCAAATATTCTGTGGCCTATCGTTCACTATTTGTCGTATCGTTCCGATCACACGCGACTTGTATTCTCGTACTCGTATTTGCGGAGCAACGAATGTGCCAAATAAACAAACTAATTAATTTGCTTTGTTTTGTTTTTTTCTTTTTTGTATTTACTCTACCGAATGCCGTTGAACTTTTGTATCAAGTATCTGTAAAGGCAGCAGAAAAAATTGTTAAAAATGTTTTGTATGATTTGCAATCGCGTTTGTGTTCAATGATTGTTGTATTTGTTAATTGTTGCTGATAATGTTGCCTCTTGGGTGACGTAAGCGATTAGGATTAGGGGTCGCACCCAATGACCGTCTGTCAATCGTTTTTGTTGAAATAATTTAGCATAAGAATGCAATAGAAATTAAATGGGAAGGTTATGTGAAGAGATAACGAATAGTGGGGCTACCCTCGAAGGTGGAAAAAATCAAAGTAGAAAATGGTTTTATTGGGATGGATTTTTCTCTTAATTCTCACTGCAACACTTATTCGAAAGTGATGATTTTTTGGATCAATTAATAAAATTAATTATCAACAAAAAATAGATTCCTATCTTAAGAATTTCGTACATTTCGTTTGTAAATTTAAAGACGCAGAATTAAGCATGACGAAATTTTGTTTACAACAATTATTTTCTGCAGCATCGCGAAGCATTTCCATTAAAATTCCTAAACTTAGCTATGATAAATTCCAGAGATGCATTTGCTTATACAGACAACAAAACCAAACACTCTACGATGGAAGGGTACCAAAATACAACGCAAAAATAAAACACCAAATCAGTGAAACATTTGAAACGATTATGAAATAAAAATTAGCATACGAGAGGCGAAAGAGGCAGCCAAGCGCAGAGCGAAGAGCGACGCGCGTCTTATCAATTGTCTATTCACGATATTATTGTATTTAGGCACTGGGTCAGACGACCGGCTGTCAGCTTGATAAGGCGTGCGGAGTCGACTAACGCTGATGATCACTTTATTTTAGTTTTGTCGGTTGTATCTCACGGAACGAAAGCTTGGGTGCAAAACTTTTCCGCTGAGCGTTTGGGGCTCAACTGAGCAAAAAAGCTGCGACGCGAGCGAGTTAACTGCGAGTGGGTGCAGTGTGGGCACAGTGGGCGCGCCACTGTCCAAAAATAAAAACAATCAATAATTAAAAGCAATCGCTTGAACGTTTTCGTCGAGGCACACGTTAAACTACTACACATTTTTTCCCTATGTTTAGTGCAATTTTACTTTTGATTGGTTTTTCTTATTAAGAGCTGGGCCTATTCTCAAGATAAAGATGTGTGTGCGTCCCACTGTGCGCTGGCAGCGACGCAAGCAGCAACAGCGACTGAGCAGAGAGAGAGCAAGCAGTGCACAAACAAGAGCGTGAATGAGTGGGAGAGTGAGAGTGCACCGAACAGATGCAGTTATGATACCCTAGCAGAGCGCATGATGTTTTTGTAACTTTATCAGCATTCTTGACCAGCATCCACATGCAAGTCGATAAGAAGCGACCACTATTTATCATCACTGTGTCATATTTGTATACATAGAATAGACCACATTTAATGGAAATCAAATGACTGTTTCGCGGCAACAATCGATCTGCGAGGGTATCACGTGTAATGGTCCTGTTTCTCTCTCTCTCTGTGACAATCCTCTCTTGTTTTGATTGAATTGTTAGCGCGTAGAATTTGTTGATTTTTTTTTGTTGATTGTCGGTTACCCCTGGCAGCCGGCAGAGGGCGGTGTGGGAGCCCTAGAATTTTTTGTTTTTTTTTTTTCATTGGGGTATTTTGTTTGTTTCAGCGGCTGCTGGGTGGCGGCTGGCTGCCCCCTGATGACGCTGCTCCTGCCACTGTCACTGCTCCTATTGCTGATTCTATTGATTACACACAACGTGTTGCTGCATGTTTTGTGTGGCCTGAAGGTTGTGTGAAGGTCGGAGACGCTACCAAAAACGCTTCAATTCGCACGATTTACACAAACACAACACCGAGACACGCGCGCGCATATGCATTAGGGGGGGGGAGGTCGGCGGGTGATTGAGAAGGAGTCTGAAGAGGCCTATACTCCCCAAGTGGGCGTGGACCATGGATAGATGCTCTCTCTCTGTCTCTCTATGTATTTTGCAAATGCAAATGCAACACTCACTTTCGATTTTTGCGCACGTTTCATTTATAACATTTCGTACAAAAAATTCCACCGGCTATTTCGGTTGTTCCATTTATTTATAGCACAGAACTTTGGAAGCGGAACTTGCAGAGGTTGGAGGCCGATCCAAATCAAGTTATTTCAAGGACATGTAGTCAATGCACCAGGCAACCAGTAGTATGGGAGACCTGTAGTATACGCCAATGTCCATTAATATACTTTTTTACTTCATTGAGTAGAAGAAGCTAAGAAGCTGGGCGCACGCTCCAGCTGATAAGAAATAGTAAGCGAACTGAACTGGTTCATGAGCTGCAGCAGTGCGCGAGCAGTGCTGTAAAATGCAAGACTTGACTTGGCGCTAAGTAAGGCCACATTTTAATATAATTTTTGTTTTTTGTTTTTTTTTTTATTGAGAAACAGAATTATCCACCTCGGGCGGCCAATCCAGATCAATGCCCACCACATCCAGGGCCTGTATATCCATGGGCTTGCCTATGATGGAAGACAGCGACGGCGTGGTCCTGCCGAATTCGCCGTGAACCAATTCCTTGATGTAAGTGCCCGCCTGGGTGACAATGTCGATGACTAGCACCAGCGGATTGTCGCGCTGCAGTCGCGTCTTGACGCTGTAGATCGTGCGGGGTCGTGTGTGCAGCGGCCGACGATGCAGCACCCTTATGGGTGTCTTCTGTTGAATGTCAAAGCTCTCGGAGATTTGCAGTTTCTGAAGGATTTCCAAAGTGGCCGGCTCCTTGAGGGCACACAGGGCGCGATAGTACTTGCGTTTCTGCTCCTCGCCCGTCTTGATGTGCATCGCCTGCTCGCGTGGCACCACCTGCAGATGGAGTATGGATACCTTGCCCGATTTATCCACCGCCTGCTCCATGGCCAGGGCCTGCTGCTTGGTCAGCGAACTCCGCCTGGCATTGGGTATCTCCAGCACAAAGGGTCGGCCCTTGCCCAGGCAACGCACATCGACATCCTCGCGACCGCTGGACATGAAGGTGATCTTTGGCACGGTCTCCGTGAAATGTGGTCCCACATTACGTATGATAATCTCCTCAATGCTGTCCTCCATCTGGCGCACTCCCTGCAACAGCCAGGGGGTGTGTGAGAGCTCTCGGCTCAGCTTCCGGTAGCGCCCGGCCACACAGACCATGGGACCCAGCAGATCCACAGACTTCAGACTGAGGGACTCGTCCACGGCCGGCGGCGGAATGGGCAAATACTTCTCGTACGTCTCTGCCTTCACGCGCGACGGCTGGTACTGCTTCTCGAGCAATCCGCGCGAGATTTCGATGCGTTTCAGTGTCTTGCCGGGAAAGGCCACCCGATTCAGTTCCACCAGTTTGTCCACCTCCTGCTCCTCCACCGTGTGCCGCAGATCAATGCTGATCATCAGTCCATTGGCATCGTACTTCTTGTCCAGCTTTTTGCAAATGATGGGATGCAGAATCAGCTTTACGGCCTCCTTGATGGGCACATCGGGTGGCGAATTGCTGTGCACGGTGGATCCAAACTTCCGCTGCAGGGCAAACCACATGGAGAGCTGTCGCAGCTGCAGGCTCATGGGCATGGTAATGGCCAAAACGATGCCCTCGCTATCATATTTGCCAAAGTCCGAAGCGATAATCCCCTCGATGAGCTCCCGCTGAAAGTCCTCGGAGAAGATGCCCAAACAGGTGGAGCAGTGGCTAAGACGGGGCTTCTTCAACGGCTGCTCATCTGTGGAGATGACATTTTGCTCAGCCTCCTCCACAGCCACTTTTACACCCAGCTGTGTGGGGGCAGAAGGAAAATTAGAACTTTGAAATAATTGTCTTGCCAGTAAATTTTATTTTCACTCACCCGCTGGAATGACTGATTGATATCGTTGTACTCGGAACCGCGTGCCCGAAGGTAACGCAACTGGCAGACATTGCAGACACCGCAGGCCACCAAATAGTCCACAAGTTCCTGATTTTTCATTTTGCTTTTAAAACAAAACGTGGGTGCCGCTAAAAACTGTGATATACAACACATGTAGCTAGTCAGCTGTCAGTTGATTGAAGCGTTAGCCAACACTAAGCGCTGGTCGGTTCAAGAAAAACAGAAAGTAATTGTTTTTATTGCCAATTTATTGGAATTAAGGTGCGTTACAAGTCAAATTGGAAGAAAATCATAGAAAAGAACAAATTGAAGAAGGAAATTCACCACTTAAGTTCAATTGCAAGCGGTAGTGTGGCTTCTGTGAGCTTTGTTATGGTTACGTCACAGAAGGAGCAGACAAAATCTCTATCCAGACTCTTCATGGACACTGTTTTTCTTTAACCCGCAGACAAGATGTCTCTGACGCCGTTCCTGCGCCTGCCACTCACCGATCTGACCGGCTGTCTGATCAACCATCAGACCTACGACAAATGCGGAAAATTTGAGATGAAAATGATGGACTGCCTCGAGGCCTACGGTCTGGAGCGCGGCAAAAAGGAGTGCGCCGATCTGATATCCGACTTCCAGGAGTGCGTGGGCATGAATAAGCAGCTCTTGCGTTTCCATGTAGGTTTTCCCTTGCCTTAATGTCAAGGAATTACTTAAATAATCATTATAAATCTGTCTCCGTTTTAGGCCATGAGGAACGAGCGCTATAAGCAGTGGCTGCTGGGAGAGCGTAAGAGGGCCGAACTCTTTGCTGAGCCACCGCGCGTGGATGCCTATTAAGAGGGAGAGCAATTTTGTGTGTAACTTCATATGGAATAGGCGCAAATTGTATAAAAAAATAAACAAAATAAATAAATATAAATTAAATAAAATCGGTGTTTTAATCTATCGATGCTTGAAAAAACATCGATGACATCGATATTTCTGCAGGCTCAATCAAACTGTCATCTCTATTTGTTTTTCGGCTGAAAAAATTACTGTCTTTTGCGAATCTTGTAATATCTCTGTGTAAAACCAAATAAAATGGGCACTAAACGACCCCACAACAGTGTGGTGCTGGCCCAGGAGTCGAAGCGCAGCAAAAATGACATAATAGCACACACAAATCGGGATAAAGCGCTATTGGAGTCGGTAAGCGTGGTGGAAAGAAGAAGCATCGTCCCAGATTTGTCAATGGAAAATTGTTATTTTGCAGGGTGTACGAAGAACGTCCAATCTACAGGCGCCCATAATGCAATTGGAGGGACATGAGGGGGAGATCTTTACGACAGAATTCCATCCGGAAGGAGAACTGCTGCTGTCCTCTGGCTTTGATCGCCAGCTCTGTGAGAAAGACCCAACGAAAACCTGAGGAAAAGCCTGTGACTGAATTTTGCTTTTGTATTGCAGATATTTGGCAAGTCTATGATGACTGTGAGAATGTCATGGCCATGTCGGGGCACACTGGAGCCGTGATGGAAGCACATTTTACACCCGATGGCTCGCACATCTTCACCTGCTCCACAGACAAAACGCTGGCCATTTGGGATATCGTCACCGGCCAGCGGTTGCGTCGATTCAAGGGCCACACGAGCTTTGTGAACAGTGTCCAGGGCACGAGGCGGGGACAGCAGCTGCTGTGCTCCGGCAGCGATGATCGGGGCATCAGGATTTGGGATGCCAGGAAAAAGCACGCCGTGCAGACGCTGGAGTCGCCATACCAGGTGACATCCGTGTGCTTTGGCGACACTGGCGAGCAGGTCATCACCGGCGGCATCGACAACGAGCTGAAGATCTGGGACATACGCAAACAGGAGGTGCTGCACCATCTGCGTGGACACACGGACACCATCACGGGCATGTCTCTGTCGCCCGAAGGTGACTTTGTACTCACCAATTCGATGGATAACACGTTGAGGGTGTGGGATGTGCGTCCCTATGCGCCCGGCGAGCGATGTGTGAAGGTCTTCCAGGGACATCAGCACAATTTCGAGAAGAATCTATTGCGCTGTGCCTGGGCCCCGGGCAGCGATAAAATCTCGTCGGGTTCCGCTGATCGGCAGGTCTATATTTGGGATGTGAACACACGGCGGATACTGTACAAGCTGCCCGGACATAATGGCAGTGTAAATGATGTGGATTTCAGTCCCAAAGAGCCGCTGATACTCTCCGCCTCCAGCGATAAGACTTTGTATTTGGGCGAGATTGAGGAGTGACGCTGCCACCCGAGAGATTTGATGATAAATAATAAACCTTTTAACGCCGATTCTTTTGTAGTTATTGTATCACAAATAAGTTTTATTTTGGATTTATCGTAGGGTTAATAATAATAAATTACATGTATCGTTGTGTGCGCAGGCCACTGCCCTGCCATCGTTTCACACTGGCAATGCACTCGTTGAGGCGGAGACGCTGCTCTTGAAGAGCTGTCCAAAGAATTTCAGGCCGGCGGCTCCACCCGGCACCATGCCCAGGACCATGAAAAGCAACGCAATGATCTGTGCAACGGCAAAGAGCACTGTAAAGGCTGTACTTTTGGCCACCAGAGCGCAGTAGAGGGTCAGCACCAGGCAGGCGCTGTACGAGATCGATGAGAGCAGCCGCGGTTTGGAGAACATCTGCTTGAGAAAGGCCCCAAAGCCCGAGAGAAAGCAGAAGGCCAGAATGAAGAAGAGGCTGCCCAGTGTGTAAAGCAGGGCGAATTTACGCGCCTTCAGAATCAGGACGGGAATGTAGAGTGTGGAGAGCGTCATGCAGAGTCCTCCCATACCCAGGCACGCAACAAAGCCAACAATACGCTGCAGTCGGGACTGAAAAGGAGGGGGTTACGCACTCTTTATATGCCATTTGCCAGGTTATAGATGGCTCACCAGCTTGGGACAGCACGAGTCCTGTGTGTCCTTCAGCCAACTGTTGGCCTCCTGCGGCTCTGGCTGGCGCGAAAAGATGCCCCCCAGACTGGGCACCTTCAGCTGTGGCATCTTTACATTGAAATTCTTCTTCTGGTCGCTCTGCAGCAGCAGATATTCGTCCAAGTCCTGCTTTAAATTGCTCATCGCGTGTCAAAAAACTTCTTCCAAAACAAAACAAAACACAAACAACAAGATATACCAAACAATTGATAAAATATACTGATATACCATAAATCATGAGTGAGTTAACGAACTTAGCCCACTTAAACCCCATATACTTGTATAGGTTGACAGCTTGAGTTAAATCGCAGAAAATATTACTGTTTATAAATTCTCCGTATTGATATATTTTTCTCTCATCAGTTACACAAAAGAAATGACCACAATATCTTTTACATGAACTGCTTATAATTAGTTACATATTTTTCATATGCGTGTGTTTATTTAAATACCCACTGGTAGACAATGGGTTAATCGGCAATCATATTCCTCGTTTTTAATATTCCGCTTAATACTACCCGTTAGCTAGGATCCTCAGCACCGAACACATAATTTTAGCCGATTTGCTACACTTCCTTTTTGTGCGATAAGTGCAACGAAAATGAAATATTATCATATTAACGTATTTACACAGCTGTTTATCTTTGTAACGTAACGCATCAACGTAAGCGAACGTAATCACAGAAAAAGTGCGACCAGATCTTGAAAATATGTTATCGATTGCTGCCCTGCACAAAATTTAAAGTCAAAATATTGATTTGCATTAAAAACAAATAAATTGGTAAATAAACGTAGAGTAGACACAGCTATGGACTTCACTGGCTTTGAAGTGCGCAAGTGCCCACCGACTGCCATGTACATTCCCAATTTCATTACCTCCGAGGAGGAGCAAAGGATCCTCAGTCATATTGAGCGGACGCCAAAGCCGCGCTGGACGCAGCTGCTGAATCGCCGCCTGGTCAACTATGGCGGTGTGCCGCATCCCAATGGAATGATTGCCGAGGAAATACCCGAATGGCTGCAGAGCTATGTGGACAAGGTGAACAATTTGGGTGTCTTCGAGTCGCAGAATGCCAATCATGTGCTCGTTAACGAGTATTTGCCCGGGCAGGGCATCCTGCCCCACACCGACGGACCACTCTTCTATCCCATCATATCAACCATTTCCTGCGGCGCACACACCGTGCTGGAGTTTGCCAAGCGTGCGCCGACAGCGGCAGACGCAGAGGCAGAGGCAGTTGACGCTGCCGGCGATCAGGCGGCGTGTCGTCAAGTTCTCTTCAAGCTGCTGCTGGAGCCGCGTAGTCTGCTCATACTGAAGGACAGCCTGTACAGTGATTACTTGCACTCGATTGGCGAGACCAGCGAGGATGTACTCTGTGATCGCATTTGCAACTATGATTTGTGTGAGACCACCTACAAGATGGGCGACCATTTGGTGCGACGTGCGCCACGCATCTCCCTGACCATACGCAATGTGCCCAAGACCAGCAAAATGAAGCTAAAGTTTTGTTAGACTGAAACACCGGGAAATCAACACCAAATGCAAAACCCAAACCAAAGCCGCACGTAAATGTTGTTTGCTGTTGTTTAAATGTTAACTAAAATGCACAAAGAAAAGAACCCACTGGATGTCAGCGACCCCGCCCCCTCCACCAATCAGCTGCATTGGTATATATATATATATATATTGGAGGGGGAGGGTGGGTTATCTATGAATCTTCCGCTAGTTGTTTAAGCACCCACACGCGCACCTGAGCAAACCACAAAAGTGCTTTATTTTTACCATTTACCATTAATATTATATTATATATAAATGTTTTTTGTATTACGTATTGTGAAGCAATAAGTTTTTAGCCGCAGGTGACAGGTTCGGTTCCAGTGTGCCAATGCAAGTTCCTTAACCCTGCTGGATGCTGCTGTTGGCCTTTATAGAATTTAATTTCAAGCGCAATTCCACGGCTGAGAGCATTGAATTGTATTTATTGTTAAATGGAGACAAACTCTCTCCATATAAATCCTCTTTGTGTGTGTGTGTGTGTGTGCGTGCGTATTTTTGTAAACGTTTTTTGTCACCATGCACCGAAAAATGAAAGGGCTGAATGCCCCACAAAGTGTTGCAAATAAAAGTTATTGTCGATTGTTACAGCACACGTTTTAGCATTGCCCCTGCTCCGGCCCTGCCCCGTTAGGCATCCGCCTCCTGCCACTCCAGACGAAATTCACGCTCGAATACCAGACGATCGTACAGACGCACCTCGCTGATCCGCGCGGAGATGTCCAGCCGCAGCTCGCTGACCGCCAGATGAAAGTTCTGGCGCACCGTGCGCTGTTTGTCCGGCGTGAGCTGATTGAGCGGCTTCCTGAAGATGCTGATGATGCGCTGCAGATGGTACTCCACACTGGCGCAGCGTCCAATGCAGACCCACAGGTTCTCCGGGTCGTGTATGTTGCCCGGGAAGCGTGTACGCTGATCGAACGGTGCCTTGCCCGACAGCAGCGCCCGCACCTCGGCCACAATCTCTTGGTGGGTCTTCAGGTCGCGGGTGCTGAGGGTCGTGAACTCGTATTTGTCGCAAAAGTACATCAGCTCCGAGATGGCCACCCAGGGCTGCGAGGAGAGCGTTGTATGGTGATTCGACCAGTTCGAGTAGCCAGCAGGAGTCGACAATTTGGTGGCAGTGGCAGTGGCAGCAGCAGCAGCAGCTGCCGTGGCAGGGCCTGTGCTCTTCGTTGGGCTGCCCACTTTGGCCGCTGGCATGGGTCTGCCAGACCCTTCCAGGCTGCTGCCATTTGTGGGTTTCTTTTCTGTGCGATGCAGCTGCTCCATTTCCCTCTCGTGCTCGCGGGCCCTCAGGTAGGCCTCCTTCTTCAGCTGCAGCTCCTGCAGCTTGGTTAGCTTCGGCGGCGACGAGGACCGTGTGAATATGCTGGCCGGCGGCGATGTTGGTGTTGCCGGTGCAGCTAAACTCAAAGCGGCCTCATTGTCTGTGTAGAGCGAATGCCCATTGGTGTCCAGCGATGCGCTGCGCCCGTACTTGGCCCGATAGCGCTCCAGCGTGTCCAGCGAGAAACTCAGCTCCTTCTTAATGGCTTTCTGCATAGTTTTCCTGGCCCGATTGACTTTATGTAATCACCTTGAAAGCAAGCGTTCAATGCGTTCGTTCGTTGCACGCGTGCCTCTCGACAATTTACAAGCGAATGCAAATAAAAATCGGTGCAAATTCTTTGCTCTTCCACCAGCAACCATCACCACTCTCTCTCCCGCTCTGTCGCTCTGTCGCTCCGTTGCTCTTTATTTTTATCTTTTATCAATAGGCGGCGAGCCATGTGCACTTTATTTTTGGTCTCTGCTGCCAATACATTTTGATGCGCATGCAGGACCCGACCGAACACAAACAATTTTGAATAGAACCACACACACATACACACACACACACATAAAGGCCAAATAACTTGTGGAGACTAGCTAACTAAACTAATTCAAAGGTAACCCTCCATTCAGGCGCCTTTTTGGCATGCCTTTCTTCAGGTTGCGGCGCACTTTCAGCATGAAGCGCTTCAGCGATCGCTTCTTTTTCTTCAGCTTCTTCTCGACTCGGCGACGATTTTTCAGCTTTGGCGAAAGCTGCATCCGCAGACCCGAAAACTGGTACAATTTCTGCGCTGGCGGTGGGGCGCCGCCAACAGGCAGCAGCCTCTGATGCCAGGAAAACAGTTGCTGCTCCTGTCCGGGGTCCTCCGGCTGGGGCGTAGTATTCAAGTTCTGCTCCGTCATGCTGGCAACTGGGAAGGGAACAAACTAAATAAGTTTACATTTATTTTTTTTATTTAAAATTGATTTTTTTTAGTTTTTTTTACTGTTCCTTTTACTGGGGTTAACTGTTCAGCCAGCCTGCTTGGGGGCACAGAGAATTTCCCGTACAAGTTCTACAGTTTTGATTTATTTATTTTATTATTTTTTAATGGCACACATTTCGTTTTTTGATTTTTGTATTTAAATTTTTTTTTTAATTTAAAATTTATTTATTTATTTTTGTTTTTTTTTTACTTACTTTTTGTTTCTACTGTTCCTTTAGCTGAGTTGGGGGGGGGGGGACTTTAATTGTTCAGCCAGCCTGCTTGGGGGCACAGAGAATTTCCCGTACAAGTTCTACAGTTTTGATTTTTATTTATTTTATTATTTTTTAATGGCACACATTTGGTTTTTATTTTTGTATTTTGGTGAATTTCATAATTAAGTACAAAACTTATTGAATTCGATGCATACACATACATATTTATTTGTTTATAATTTTTATTTTATTTTTTTTGTTTGCATTTATTAATTATATATATATCTTTTTTTTTTTTTTGTCGTGTGCTAATTGTTGAATAAAAATGCACAAAGTACATTTAATACTTTTTAATTTTGTTGTTGTTGTTGTCGTTGTCTGCTCTGCCAGCTCAACAGGCAGAGATGGTGGATCGATCTTTCACATTGTTGTTGTTGTTGTTGTTGTTGTTGTTGTTGTGTTTTGTGTTAAATAAATAAATCTCCTTAAAACATACGTAATAGAAAAATGTACAAAATTACAGACAGACAGACACACACACTGACACACACAGCTACTTGTAGGACTAACTAGAAAACATTTTTACAACTACAATTATGGGTGGCTGGCTGGCTGGGTGAGGGGAGGGTTAGCAGAAGGCACACGGTATACACAGAGTTGAGGATTAGCTGGTGGACAGGACAGATCAGTGGACAAGGCTTTAAGTAGAAGGATCCTTAGCTTAGGTTGTTTTCACGCAAAATGTACAATAAAGGTTGTGGGAGTCAGCTCTCTCTCTCGCTCTCTCTCTCTCTCTCTCTCTGTCGCTTAGACGCAGTAGGATGAGGGCACTTCGAAGATAATGCTGCCAGCGGAATGACGGAAATTTGGATTCTCCACATTGGCCGCACCCTCGACCACAATGTTGCGCGGCTTGTCGCCCAAGCGGCAGGCAATATTACTGCTAACATTCACGCGCAGTTCCGTGCCCGTAAAGCTGCAAGAGAGTACGAAATTTAGAGACGGGCTGCTTGGCTGCAGTGTTTTTGGGGGAGACTTACTCATGGTATTTCTTGCACACGATGCCCACCAGCTCACCAATGCGATCTTCACGCAGTGTCGTTGTCTCGCCTTGCAGCGCAAACACCAAATCGTTGTTCTTTGGCGAGTGGAAAACAATAAGCTGATCCCGTCCGGGCGTCACACTGATCGATGTTAGCTGTGGGGGGGGGCAGAAGTGACAGTGCCAGAGAGGTTAAAGGTGAACTCCAACCAACAGCCAACTAGAACTCACCTCTCTGATGCCAATGGAGCGCTGCAGATCGCGGAACTTCTTTTTGATGCCATCCAGCTTGTATATGGTGGAGTCCGTGACAATGAACGCCCGATCCGCCTGCTTGTTGTGCCGATTGAACTTCTTCACGAAGCCCGAGAAGAGCACCTGGCGGAAGGAGTCGCCGCCGCCGTGGTTCTTCATGTTGCGCACATTCGTCGTGTACGAATCGTAGCCGCTGTTGTCCTGCGAATTGGACAGATAGTCGCCCAGCCAGCGCCGCTGCTGGCCCCAGTAGGGACGCCTGCCCGCCAGCGCAGTGGCCGCAATGATCTGCAGTCGCAGCTGGGGCCACTCGCTGCGCGGATACTTGCGCAGTATCATGCACGCACGCCAGAAATCGAAGATGCGATGCAGCTTGGACTCGGCCTTGCGGCCGGCCAACGGCGGCTGGGGCCACTGAATGCTCTTGCCGTAGTCGCGCAGCTGCTTGGCATTGCGGAAGCGATTGGCCAGCTCCTGGACGTAGCTGCGCAGCTTGTACGTCTTGTAGGCGCGCATTATGGCCATGGCGGCCCTCATCTTCTTGTAGTTGCGCCTGGCTATCCAGCCGCGCACCTGCTTCTGCAGCAGCGTCACAATGTGCGGTATCATCTCGTTGCGCTGCTGTTCCAGCGCGAACAGCGTCTTCGGCGAGCGTATAAAGATCTTGGTGTGGCCGTATTTCACGTCCTGCGCGAAGCCCTTCTCCTCGATGAGCACCCGGACGCCGTCGCGATCGCTGCCGGCGCGGAAATTGGGCCACGTGTACTGGGAGATCATCTTGTAGCGCAGCAGGAACTTGTCGTAGCGCTGGCGGTGCACAAAGCCGGCGCGACGCACGCGCACGTTCTCGAGCAGACCCAGGTAGCGCACCTGATGCTGCACCCGCTCCTCATCGAACACGGTCGAGCTCTTGATGTCGTTGGGCTTGACGCAGCGCACATAGAAGGGCTCCTTCTTCAGAAGCGTCACCACCAGCTCGGCCATGGAGCGCTGGAAGAGTGTGCCCGCTGTCAGCGGCCGTTTGGTGGTCTTCTTGATGTCCTGCGCACCCTCGGGCCACATTTCGCTGAGGTTCGAGTCCTTGGAGTTGTGCAGCAGTCGCTTGAAGTCCTGGTACAGCGTGTCCTTGTTCTTTTCGATGAACCCATTGATGTTGTAGATAACATCGCCGGCGTAGTGCGTGATGCGGAAATCCTCGCGATGCTTCAGCTCCTTGTCGGTGGGCTTCAGCTGGCGACTGGTGTAATGCGGATGCTTGCTCAGGTTCTTGTCCATGGCACCCAGCAGTGTGTCGTCGGTGACATTGCCCACACTCAGACAGGCCTCGTCCATGATGGCGATAATGCCCTTGTGCGGCTGCTCCACCAGATCGCAAATGATCTGCAAGGGATTAAGCGGTACTCAAGGGCGTTGCTTTGCATTGACTTTCGTTGCGTTGCTCACCTTATTGTTGAAGTAATCAATGTTCGTCCACTCGATGCCCTCACGCTGGTACTCCTCCTGCTCCTGCTTCAGCACCAGTTCTAAGGGATTAAAAAAAACATAATTTAATTAGCTTAAATCCAAAATGAAATCCACAATCCACACTCGACACGCACCAATGAACAGCTGCTGCAGCTTCTCGTTGCAGTAGTTAATGCAGAACTGCTCGAAGCTGTTCGAATCGAAGATCTCAAAGCCATAGATATCGAGCACGCCAATGACGGAGTTGTGCCGCGCCTGCGTCTTGCTGCCGCGGAACAGAATCGCCCGATTGATGCGCGATATGATCCAGGTGAAGAGGCGATCGTAGATGGCCTTGGCCAGCGCATCCTTGCCGTACTCCGCCTGTGTGGCATTGTGATCCTTCTGCATGACATTGCCACCGGCGGCAATGACGCGCTTGGTCAGTGCCGTCGACAGCTCCGATTCGGTGACCTGCAGCAGCTTGGCCGTCGACTGCAGATGCTGCTTGTTCGTAATCACCAGCTCATCCTCAATGGCTGCGGATGGGGTTAGTTCAAAGTTAGTTCAAATTTAATGGGCATAGATTCCTCTGTCTGTCTGTGTGCGAAACTCACTCTGAAACTCCACATTGCCCAGGTGCAGCACAGCGGCGACTGTGCGCCAAATGGTGTGCACCTCATCCGCGGAGAAGCCCAGCGTCTTGAAGGCGTTGCAGGTGCCCTTGTAGTCGGACTTCTCCGTCAGTATGTCCATGCTGCCCTGGTTCAAGTAATGATATTTGCCCGTCTCCTTCTGCAGCTCATACTGACGCAGCTCATTGTCGTTGGCTCCGCGCAAGAGCTGAAATGGAAACCCCAATGGGGGGGTGGGGCCATTAGTTCAGGCAGCACAAATTATGCAGTGACCATATCTATGCCGCTAGTATTTAGCACAGCAGACAATTAGCGGACGTGCCTGTCCATTATTGAATTTCCGTTTGGCCAATTTAGCTGCGGAATTTCCCTATGCTTAACTAGAGAGGAATTTTGGCTCAGCACGGAGTGAGTGAAAACCCCCAAAAACATACGTTATTTTATCTATAAGAAATCACACCCTTTAACAGTTACTTTTGCACCCGTTACTAGCTATCAAAGTGTCTCACGAATAAGTGGGAAAGTCCACTAAGCAAGTAACTATCTGTGGATCTATCAGTCATAATTATATATAGCCAAAACACACACACACAATGCAATCTATGATCGATGAGGCGCCAAATTTCGTACTGTATTTATTTCCGGCAGCGTACGACAGTTAAAAATAAAAACTATGAAATAAAAATTAATTTTTGATTTTTATAATAAAAATCTGAAAACTCTAATTTTACTACTTTTTTTTACAACTCTGTTTGCCAATACCTATAACGAAAAAAATAAAAGCCTGGTAAATAAGAAAAGAGTTATAGCGTATATAAAAAAAAAAAAGATTTACTTAATAACTAATTTTTTTGGAAGTATTTTTTTACAACTCTTGTTTTGCATTTTTTAATACAAAATTTTAAATATAAATCATTGTTTCTATTTTTTAATAAATACTGAAAATAAGAGTTATAAAAAAATTCAATTAAATTGCTTATAAAAGTTTATACTTGAAAAAAAATTGGTAAATAAAATAAGAGCTATTAGTGATTTTTATAATAAAAATCAAAAATTAATTACTTAATAACTTTTATTAGCAATTTAATTTAATTTTTTTATAACTCTTATTTTAATTTTTTAGTACAAATTTAAAATAAAAATAATTTTTTCAATTTTTTAAATAAAAACTGAAAAAAAAGTTATACAAAAATAAAATGAAATTGCTAATAAAAGTTTTTGATTTTTCACGATCCTGCTTACAAAATAGCTGTATATTTTTTCATACACCTAGTAAACATTTTGGACTCATAACCCCCCTTATTTGTGAACCTCCCAAGTCATAGACTATACCAGAATCCCGATCAAGCTCAAATTGATTCAGTATTAACACTTTATTGCGGTGCTAATTACTAAATTAATCAATTGCAAATTGCAATTAAATAATCCAGCTGGCAATCGCATAGCTCTGTCAATTAACACCTCTACCGATTAAATCGAACTGAACAATGGTGGCATTATACTCAATATATACTCAATATGTTAAAGGTGCGTTACGCGCACTCTGGCTGTTGCTTGCTCAGTGGATAAGTCTGGGGAGGGGGGTGTGGGTAGGCTAGGGTATGGTATGGGGGGCAGGCTATGTTATCATTCCGATGATATCATCAATATGCCAAGCCAAAGACCAGGGACAACAGTTCAGTAATTGAACTAAATTTAACAACTGTCAGAATGTGTAATTAAATGAATAGTCTTTGCTCTTTTATGTGGTTTTGTTGCGCTAATTAGTTGTGAGACAAGTGCTAAAATTTACTTGAAATATTCATGTGTGTGTGTGGGCATTCCAAAAGTTTGATATATTTTTGTTCATGGCCATGGCGGCTTATCAACGCTGAAATTACCGCGAAATATATGACAAAATGTTCTGGTTTTTGTTTTTTTTTTATTTGTGATATCAGTTTCGATTTCAGTTTTAGCACAACTTACTCATACAAAACGGAAATGAGTTAAAAAAAAAAAAAATAGGGAATATACTCGTAAATATGTGTGCCTGCCTGCCCCTATCTCCTACCCTGCATAAAGCTGTCTCAAATTGCTTTCGCATTCAAGTTAAATGTCCATTAAATGTCGAACACACCCTACAGCAGAGGAACAACAACAACAGCAACAGCGACAATAACTGTCTGCCCAGCCGAAGAGAATAGTTCCCAGCTACCTGCTAGCACAGCACACACGAGAACAGCACACCACCCGAGCACCCACCCGAGCACAGCAATTGACGCCCCATGGCCCTGCCTGCCTTTCGTCACCTTTTCGGCACGCGTCACGCTGACTCACTTGAGTAAATAGTCGCCCACACACATAGCACACACAAGCTGCAGGGAGAGCAAGAGAGTGCGGGAGTGCGAGAGAGTAGTGTAGGAGTAGAACTCAGAGTGCAAGAGTGCGAGTGAGCGAGAGAGTGTAGTGTAGGACTCAGAGTGCGGGAGTGCGGGAGAGGGAGAGTAGTGTAGGAGTAGGACTCAGAGTGCGAGAGTGCGAGAAAGTGAGAGAGTAGTAGTGTAGGAGTAAAACTCACCTGATAGAAACTGTGAAAATTACGTTCGCCAGGCTGTTGCTGCACCACACGCGATTTCTCGAGCAGATAGTTGGTGATGATGCCACCCACGGGATCCGCCTTGTAATCAAACTCAATGTCCATATATTTACCAAAACGACTGGAGTTGTCGTTGCGGTTCGTTTTCGCATTGCCGAAGGTCTCCAATATCGAATTGCTCTGTATGAGCACGTTCTTCACTCTGCAGGGAGCAAAACATATTAAAAAAAAACAAATGAAAACATTAATAAATTTTAAAATGCAATTAAATCGCTGGAGAATTGCACTTAAATGGCTTTTAAAACGTTTCTTTTGTGCCCCGCGTTTCACAGTAATTTGCTAAATGGCACTAGAAATAATCTCTCGCCCATTTTAAATTCCATTTGTGCCACTAAAAATTGGCAATTTCGTTGGGTTATTTTATGTTTGGGGCTTGGCCGCCCAGGGTTTGCTGCTGCGGAGTTCTTTGTGGGTTTTTAATGGTGCACCTTAAACTACGCCCCAAAGTGATAAAAGTCGCTTAGACAAAGTGGTTTTGGAACTGGACTGGACTGGTGGGGGCAGGCAATTAGTGTGGCAATTAATTCGGTAACTTAAGCTTTAGTTTTTGATGTGAATGATGTCTGATGTCATCAGAGTGTCATCACGCGATGACTGTCTTCGGTCATGTGTGTGTGCTGATTATTCTTTATCTGCGGTATGTTGCCAATACCCTTCTGGGGGCCTTTGCCTAATTAGAAATTATTTGCTGGCCTTGCTTCATGCACTCACTGCCAATGAAAATTCCACTTGCAATTTGCATGCAAAAACAATGGCAAGTTAGATTGTTTTTTTTTTCAGTCTGGAGTTTTGTACGGGTAGTATTCAGATATATAGGTTGGGTTGCGGGTTTCCCACTGTCTAGTTCGCAGTATTGTGATGGGGCTCTCAAAAGCATTCTCTCAGCCAGCCAGGCTGAGCTTGAGAGTTGGTAAATTGACAGACAGACTACTCGTAATTTATGGTGTACTCAGTGAAAACGGCTTGGGAATTAATGAACTAGTTCTTGGCACTGAACTGGAAGTATAAAATAAATCTTTAAGGTGGGAGTTATTTATGTTCTTTGCTGTGGATACTCATATATTTTTACTCTAGTGTTTTTAAGCATTTTAATAAAAAATATTCCCAATTATTAATTTTACTAATTATTCATTTTAATTTATACTAAATTTAATTTTTACTAGTTTTAATTTTATATTAATTTAAATTTTAACTGATTTTAATTTTTACTAATTTGAATTTTTATGAATTTTAATTTTTATTAATTTTAATTTTTATTAATTTGAATTTTTACTTATTTTAATTTTTTATTAATTTTACAAATTATTAATTTGAATTTTTATTAATTTTAATTTTTACTAATTTTAATTTTTACTAATTTCAATTTTTATTAATTTTTTTGTTTGTTAATTTTAATTTTTACTAATTTTAAAATTCACTAATTTTATTTTTACTATTTTTAATTTTTACTTATTATAATTTTTTACTTAGATCTCCCCCCTTAGTTCCGTTTCACTCACCTTTCAATTTCGTTCTGTCCCTGGGTATTCGTCACTGCCGCTATGTACTTCATGATGATCTTTGAGGCCTCTGTCTTGCCGGCACCCGACTCGCCGGAGATCAGTATGCAGGTGTCCTGGTGGCGCTGCTTGAGCACCCTGTAGGCAGCATCCGCAATGGCAAACACATGCGGCGCATTCTCGAACAGTTCGCGACCTTTGTACTTGCGTATGGTCTCCGGGCCGTAGATGTTCATCTGTCTGTAGGGATTCATCGAGACGCACACCTCGCCGATGTATGTGTAAATGGAGCCAGCTTGGAAACTATACCAGAGAGAGAGAGAGAGAGAGAGAGAGAGAGAGCGAAAGATTATTTAATGCAATGTTTGGAAATACATTTAATTTACAAAAAATAGATATTGGGGCATTGGCTAAAATAAATGCTCCCATTGTTGGGAGTATCTGGGTATGTGGGAGCCAGCACCAGCACCACCCGTGGTTTGGCGCCTGTGGATTTCTATTCGAATATGTTTTGCCAGAGATCTGGGTTTATATGCCACCTCTCCGCGTAATCTCACGGGGTGCGCCGTATAATCAAATTGATTGCAGTCGATGATGCCTGATGTGTGCATCAAAATTTTGATCATTTCTTTTTCCTTTTTTTTTGATTGACTGAAAGGGGCGCATGGCTGGCTGGCTGGCTGGCTGGCTGGCTGGCTGGGTGTGTGGGTGGTTGGTTGGGTGTGTGGCTGGCATTGTGCATTTATTTTGTATGCAGTTTGTAAGGCGCCAAAAGAGTTCGAGTCTGCAGTTCGTTCAGTTCTGTTGTGTTGATTAAATGATGAACTGAATGCGCGCTAAGTGGGTCAATTTGGATGGACGGGGGGGCAGAATGGCCAGAGGTTGGGGCGGATATATCCATAGAATTTTTCAATCTGTCGAAATGTGAGGCATGCAAGCAGTTCTGTTTTTAGAATATGTAAGCATCATGGAAACGTAAAGTATTGTCAGGGAAAATCAATCTGAAATGGAAAATATAATTCTGAAATTTGCTTAAAATAAATTAAAATCATTTCTGGACTTAACTAGAGCCCAAGTATTTGGATATAATGAATAGTAATTAAATATAATTCTTCTAGAGTTATTTAAGTCAATATTCATTTATCTTTTAATGCTATAATAATAGAAATAAAATTCTAAATATATTTTAAGGAGCTTCTTCCATTTATTATTATTTATTTATATTTATTTATTTATAATTGCTTCAAAAAACCTGAAACTAATTCTTAATGAATTAGTTAACTATTTATTTTAAATTATATGAAAATCCTGATTAAGCTAAGCAAACCAATTGAACTAAGCTAGTGGCCTCATATACAAAGTAACTAGTTCCAGAGCGCTATAATCTGACATAATCTAAACAATTATCAGAACATAAAAACTATAATGATAGCGCTAAGCCAAGCAACAAATATAGCGCCTTGGTCTGGAGGAATTAGTTCCATTGAACTAGCTTAAATTCAGTACTCACACACCTACAGATCAAAAGCCATTGCAATCTTATCAGCAACTAAGAATTGTACCAAAGATAGTGCAGAACTTTCCAAGGAACAGAAAAACATGAAACTCAAGGTGGAACGGGCAAAGGAAAATATTTCCATTCAACTTAAGGAATTAAAAACTGATAAAACACAATCAAAAGTGGCACAGAAAAGAGGCAAGTAGAAGTGGATTAGATTGAGCTTAAAAGGTGCACTAAAAGAGTGGAAATATTAAAGTAATTTAATCATTAAAATATTGCCTATGAATAATTATCACTAAGGCGTCCCGCCTGAGCCCCAAGTTAGCTGCAAATTGTATGCCAAAGACTACACACACACACAGTGCAACGTGCGCTGTCTTGGCTAATACTGGCCCATAAAATAATGGTTAACTCTATTGCAATTACAGCAGAGGAGCGCCAAGAGAGAGACTGTGCAACAGGTATTACAAAACCACAAAAAGCGCCGCCTGCGACTGCCCAAAGACTGCCCGGCCAGAGTCAAGCCCCTAAAAAAGCTACAAACAAAACGGAGAAATTGTTAAAACAAAACCAAGCCAAGCCAAGCAAAGAAAAGTAGTGAAAAATGATTAAGACAAAACACACACACACAGTTAATGCCAGCGCCGTGCCTTTTTGTTTGTATTTATGTTTTGGCTGGTCTGTGCGGGTCGGGCGTACACCCAGGCGACCAGAAGTCGGGCAACACATGTTTTTACTTAAGTTTTTCAGTGTTTATTTATAGACAGGTTGCTGGCTGGCTTTTCAGCTTTCTGTTTCGTTTTCTGTAGCTGCGACTGTCTCTGTGTCGGCTGCTCTTTCTGTTACTGTTGCCGCCACACATTTGGGTCACAAATGTGACAGGCGACAAATGGCAAAATGTGTGCCCTCAGGGCGTTAATAATAGCGCTGAACTAGTGAACTCCAGGCAGTGTCCAAGAAAGCGTTTAGTACGCTTGTTAACTTTTAGGTACAACAAGGGGGTCAGCCATCATACGCGTGGGGTGGGGGGGGTGTCTCCGTCTTAGCAGCGAAAAGGGCAGGCAGCAAGCAGCAAGCAGCAAGCCTCTTAGTCTCCATTTCGTGTGTGATTTCTATGATTTCCCCATTGCCTGCCCGCCGAGGTATGTTCTGTCTCATATTGACACCTTGTCAGGTGTGTGGGGGGTGTAGTGATGGGGCACCGCCCACGTGGCGCATGATTGACGTGCCATCAACAATTTATAGGTGGCATGACTTTCCACTTGCCTTTTGCGTAGGCGTTCAAATGAGGCTATAGAAATTACATTTTGGGCGCAATTGTTACGGCTATGAGCTGGACTTCATACCATCTGAGCTGGCCAGGCTGGCTGGCCAGGGCAACGCATGAGATCATTCAACAGGTGAGTGAACGCTGAAGGAGGTTCCCGAATTACTTGCGGGATTTATTAAGCAGCGTCAATGAAAGTGAACGATTCTTTGAGTCGTTGAACAGCTCAATCTGGGACAAGTTATGCGGCAGTTAAGATCTTAGCTTATGACTAAATATATTTCCATTGAATTAGCGTTGAAGCTGTTAGATTCTGTTGGCAGACAAACGAAATTAGCAACTAATTCTATTTATTTCACGCTAATGAAGTAAATTAGTGGATGCCAGCATTAGTCTGGCATTAGTTTAGGCCTTAAACTTTAAGCTATGAGTATGAGGTTCTTTTCATGAATAGTATCCATTGGATTGCTCAAGTAGTTTATCAGCATTAATTTATTTATTGTTATATATTTTAGTATATATATATTAGTTATTAATTAACTAATAAAATTGTTTAATTGGAGACCCGAGCACAGTAATCATTTGTCAAACATATTTTATAAGCTAAAATCCTTTAAGCTGATGCACAATTTTTACTTGAATTATTATGAGCTTGAAATTAAATGTGTATTAAATGCATTGCTCTATTTTAAATGCCCATTGAGAGCTGTTAAACATTTGTTATTTATTATTATTATTATTTTTACATATTATATATTATAATTATAATTTTTTGCGGTGCTAAAGTTTGACTGATGGTTTCTCGTCTCTGGCATAAATTCCCCTGAAAAATAGCTCCTTTAATGTCTTGCCTTAATCGGCTTAGCTCTTTTATTGTATCATATGGCACTTGCTCTCCAGTAATATTTTCATACATCTGTGCATATATATTTACATATTGTGTGTACCCAACTGCTGGCACATGATTTCTGTTCTGTTGTGTGTTTTGTTCTTTTTAAGCTTGGGGCTTTCCCCCCCTGCTGCTGCTTGAATCCCAAACATAATCATAAAATATTTTCTTCATTCATTCTTCTTTAGTTGCGTCTTCTCTCCAACACATTTTCATTCTTTCGCGCACTTCATAAACTTCAAAATTCCAACCCAGTTGACTGGGTTATTCATTATAATGATTTTTTGCAGCTGGCTTGGGCTTTCAATGTGCTCATCAGCTGTCCGCAGTCTTTTATTATTTACTGGACGTGTTACAGGGGTCTGCTGCAAGACCAGCAAATGACGTAATCAAAGATAAAAGAGCGCGCAAAAAGAAAACAACGAAATCAACAGAATTTCCAGATATTATTGTACAAAATAAAAATAAAATAAAATGTACACATTCCAGCAACAATTTGTTATGCAGATATGTCTTTATTTTCTGAGTGTTTCACAGCCTGTTTACACACTACTTTTACCGTGTATTATACGGCGTATCCATTTTGCATTATTTTATTAGCGTTTTGTGAGTCATCTTTCCTGATCTGATGTTGTGCGCGAAGACCTTCAATATTGTGTTTGAATTATTTACATTTATCAATGAACAAATTGCTGGCTGAGCTTTCGGCTTAGCTAACACGTTTAAGGCAAGTGCTGTGACTCAGCTTCGTCTGTTGCTGTTCTCAAACTGCAATTTGCATGTTGTCATTAAATATTTGCAAGGCATTTTATACTACTCCTCATCCCCCGTGAATCATGAATCATAGTCGTACAGTACTCCGTACTGTTTGGCTAGGAAACATTTTTACTACGCACCAGAAAGGCCACACAGAAAATCGATAGGTTAACTTTTGCATTGCACTTTTCGCATTCGTTGTGGAAAATGTTTTTGTGCTTTTGGGGCTGACGTCATAGGTTTGGGCTTTTAGTGGGTCAATGTTTTTATTTCGCTTTTATTGGGGGTTTGTTTCTGCTCTTGTCTAATTGAATTTGAGCGATTTATTGAGCGATTTCGATAGCAGAATGAATAATAGAAGAGCAGCCAGATTGAATGTGGCACACTCGAAGGTAGCGGAGTAGTTGATGGAATAGGCGATAGATATGCGATAATAGGCGGTAGAATTTATTTATTCAAAATATTATTTATAATACATAAGCAGTAAATTAGGTTTTATATAACTAAAAGCGGAATAAAGTAACGAGTAACTAATAGCGGAATGGAGTAACGAGTAACTAATAGCGCAATAGAGTAACGAGTAACTAATAGCGCAATAGAGTAACGAGTTGCTAATAGCGGAATGAAGTAACGAGTAACTAATAGCGGAATGGAGTAACGAGTAACTAGACTTTAGAGCTCCCCCCATAAAGGCTGGGAACAGTCATTATTTTGAGAGTATTCCCCGAGTAATTGAAGAGATCCGTGGAAAATAAAGCAAGTTGCTTCTGATACACTCTTTTAAGCGCTTATTGGTTTTAAATGTGACGCGGGAACTAACATGTTACCAACTCAAAGACTCGATATACAACTTTAAAATGAATAAATTAAATAAATAAAATAAATAAATA